GCGCGGCGTCATCTGGTGGCCCTGCCCGCGGCGTTGGCTGGGCTGGAGACGGCGGCGCCGCCCAGGTTACCCCAATTTCATCAGGTACAAGGAGGCCGACGACATCTCCTAGGCGGATGCCGCGGGAGGAGGCGACATCGAGCGCTGCTGTGCACTCGCATCCTGAGCGCAGCCGCAGCGCCGCGCGCCGGCGCCAGAACGACACATACCGCTACTGGTCATATTATTGGAGCAAATTTTCTACACCGACGAGCGCGATTGTGAGTGCATTTGGATTCACCAGAACAGCACGCGTACAATTGGATGATTCGATGATCGTGGTACTCGTGACTGGGACAACAGTTCTCTACACTTTCCTGCGGCATCACTGACCTGGACCATTTTTTGGGGGGGGGGAGGGGGGCAACGTTGATGCTGTATGTTCTTCGGGATTACTGTATTGGTAATTATGGTTGGGTTATCGGTGTATTCGTTGTCATTGACCTTGATGCTGTATCTTTTTGACGATTTATTTCGCATTCACTACGATTTTTCATTGTGCATTTTCATGGATATGACGTCATCTACTCCGATCTGGCACTCAGGGCATGAACGCGCCCAGGCAGGTCGCCCGCTAACAATGTGATCGACTGATACCGTAAATGGGCTTTCATGGGAAGGCGGCTGTGCACGGCCTGTGTATAGTTTTATCCAATTGCTTTGATTTTGATGTCGACACAGTTTTTCTGCACAATTTTTGGCAGTCATCGTATGCCTTTTGAGGTCTGGAGTGCTTCGCATTCTGCGTGTCATGCCATCTAGTTGATCAGTTGTCATTACAGCTTCGATCGTAGTATCAGGTGGATTTGGGCCAGGAGAGCCCCGAGAATAATTCCGGGCCTGGAGTGCCCCCTGGATGAGAGATTTCTTTTTCACTTTTGATCGAGTTGTCGTCAGAACTCTGATCGAAGGTATTCCGATTTACGTTACTTCGCGCGCGTGTTACTGTGCGCCGTCGGAGACACCTGCGTCGTAGCATGCAGTATGGTTTTCCATTTGCTCTTCTTTCTCTTGCTTTCCCAGCCTCGTCACCCGTGGTGGCGGGGAGTCGTCTAGGAGTGCCGAAGCGTTTCTGGGGGCGCACCCCGGGCCCGCTGAAGGCGGGTGTACTCCCCTAAGTACCCTGCTTGGCTGGATTGGCCCCCTGTTTCCTTCCTGGCCGGTGCGACCTCGTTTGGAGGTGCGGTTGGTTTGGCGGTGTTTTGGGTGGACCTCGCACCTGCTCCCGAGCCCCGCTGTTGTCTCCCGCGGGCCCGAGGCCAGCGTGGAGCAGGCGGGGCTCGGGGCAGTGTGTATGTGTGTGTGTGTGTGAAGACCGCTCTTATCACCATTCTATCATTACATGCCGCTAACGTATCGGCTTAGGTGTTGGCGCACACACCGCGCTGCTCTCTGCGCAGCGCCCTGGAAAAGGAGTAGCCATACTCTTCTTCACTCACCTCTACCAACGGATAATCGGATAGGTTCGGCTCCTTGGTCGTTGCCCTATACGCACGTGACGAGGCGCCGTCAATGCGGGTGGGATGCCACCGCCGCGGCGGGGCTGCAGAGAGGCCCGACTGGGGGCCTTTCGGAAGCGCTCGTAGGTGGAAGGGCGGACGCGGCCACGGCCGTGGCGGCTTCTGTGCCGTCGGCGGCGGCCGCTGCGGATGTCAGCGCCCCTTCCCCGTCGGGGGCCCCGTCGTCGTCGTCGCCCGGGGCGCCTACGGCCACGTGGTGGGGCCCCGAGTTTCGCGTTGGGCCTGATAGGGGCCACGTGGTCCCCAGGAGACCGACTGTCGCTGGGCCGTGGGCCAGGTCCGATGCCGTTTGGCTTGGGGCTGGGCGAGAGGGATGAGAGGGCTCATCTGAGTCAGCAACTCCTGCGCGCTTCGGTTCAAGTGCACGTATACAGGGGTTGAGCGTGCCGTGCTCTCGTTTGATCACCATGACTCTTTGCTCCGGCCGTGTGCACTTGCCTGTGAGGGGGATTTGGCTGGCCGCGAGGGAGCTGGCATCCGTCCCGATGTTGCCAGCACGCCCTGGCATGGTGGAAACGGCGTCCTCGCGCCAGCTGCGTCGGAGATGCCAAAGATGATGCCTCCTCGGGGTGAACTCTTCGCACGAGTCCACGGAGTCGGTGTTGTGTCGTCGTTTCCAAGTCCGCGTGCGGGGTAGGGTGGGCCCTGCGTCCCCACTGCCGCGGCCACGTAGGGGTCGGTCTTGAAGATTTCGGTGTCCACGGCACCTCTCCGTCGGCCGCGCCGTGGGTTCAGGCGTGACCTCGGCGGACGGTAATGTCGGAGGTGAGGCCGCTTTGCTGGCGCCCAGATGCCCCTTCCCCCGATAATTTGATTGCCCGTCGAAGTTCTCGGCGCTGCAGGCCCTCGCCGATGCAGCAGTATATGTGCGACCAGTGGTTTCGGGATTCCGGGGCCTCCCTGGGTGTCGTGCAAATGGGAGCTGTGATGATCGCGGCTGTTGGTCGAGCTGGCGAGCCTTGTCCTGGCTCATCCTGGCTCTCTCCAGTGGCCCCCTTACCCCCAAGGCGGCAATTGTCGAGAACGTGACTGAGGTTGTGCCGTTTGTGGAGTTCGAGCACGACATGTATCGTTTTTAATTTGGCTGTAGCATCTTTGGCTCTCGCGGGCTAGGGGGCAGATTGGTATGTTGATGGCTTGTTTAGCAGGGGCCGTCCCCGACGGACGTGGCGCGTCACCTGAGTCGTCACCTTGGCTGCCTTTCTATCCCATTGATTTCAAGTTGCCGCCTGGAGCAGGCCACCTGCGCCCTCCGCGGTCTGGCTCGTTTGGTGCTTCCTCGCGTTTGGGCGGCCAGCTCTTCCGGGCGCTCTTCAATGGGTGGAACGCCAGCCACCGCATGCAGCGACGCATGGAGTTCTTCTTTGGATGAGCAGCCGAGGACAGCCTTCGACATTATGCTTTTTGTTCGAGGGCGGCGGATTTTTAGCCGGATGCGGCTGGGCCTCCTCCCCGCCCCTCCTCTGGAGTTTTTTTTTTTTTTTTTTTTTTGTGTTGTTTTTTTTTGTGTGTGTGTGTGTGTGTGTTTGTGTTTTTGTGTTTATATATATATATATATAGATTCTGGGGTCCGCTGTTCCGCGAAGACGCGGCCAGTAAACTCGCTCGACGTACTCTTGCTACTTTTGCGGCGTGCGCTTCTGGAACCGCCGCCGCCGCGGGCAAACCGCCAATGCGCAGGAGGCCCTGGCGCAGTGCGCGCCCGATGCTTGTGCGGCACACGCTGGTCTGGCTAACATTGTAGCTGCTTTATGGACTAGTTGACTTGTCTTTCCGTCCTCCCCTCAGCTGGTTCGTTTCGTTGTCGTTTCGCCGTGCTTTGCGTCTTTCTTTCATAATGTCTATCACCATGGGAGCTCGCCTTGGTGCTCTGCGCCCATTGCCAAATTTGACGTTATAGAGCTTACCTTCCTTCCATGGCTGCTCGTGGTAATTCATGGCGGGCCCTCGTCGCCCTGTCACGGCGGAGTGTTTGTAGGTCATGTGCAGATTAGTCTCTCCTCTCCTCCTCCTCCTTACTCTCCTCCTCCTCCTCCTCTCTTTTCGCTTGTTGTGCGGGATTTTTGATTGTGGCCTTTTGGGCCCTGGGGCAGTAGCTTCCGCACAATCCCGTACAGCCGAGGGCACGTTACGTGGCAGGGCAAATTCGTATCAGCCGCTAGTTGGCATTCCCGCTTTCTCCTCTCCTTCCTCCCTCCTCCTCACCCCCCTCCTTTTCCTCTTCTAGAGTATAATAATTTGCCCCTTGTCTGCTTTGCATTCCCTGTTCAATCATCGTGTGCGCTCCCATCTTTTCCAGCAACAAAGTCCGTCAGCGGTTGCCCCGACAAGAGCCAATCATACTATGCAAATAAGACGGCACGAGCAGAGTGCACACATTCTCGCGGGTGAGCAATTTAACGCCAATCCTGAGGCCTCCTCACGTGGCAATAAAGCAACCCGTTCAGTTTTTTCTGGACCCTTGCCCTCCCGTCGTCCTGTCGACCACCGGCCCCCCGCCGCCGCCGCATGCTTGTGCGCCTGCGCGGTGCTGGGCTGTGGCCTCCTGTAGGCCTGGGCCTGGGCGGGGAGACAGGCAGGGGCTTCTACCTGTGGCTTCCTGCTCGGGCCTGGTGCCCTTGCGGGGGGCGCGTTGCTCTGTCCCATGGTTTTTTGTCGCTTCAAGATCTGCGTGGTCTGGGAGGTCTGTGGCGTTTGCACGGGCCGCGTCCTACTCCCTCTCTGCCCCGCCATTGTTCTCGCCGTAATTCGCTACGGACCCGTTCCGCCGCTGTCCTGGCCGCTTGTTGGACCTAGTTCGCCGCGGACAAAACAAATCCCCCCTTGCCCCTGGGGCTCTCCCTGGCCCCTTCTCGCCCCGATCGCTTTTTTCTTTCAGGGTCGTTTTTCGACGGTGCTGGGGTCTAGAAGGCGCCGGGGTGCCAGAGGGCTGGGCCCCACAGTTCCCCAAAGGCAAAGCGAACGTCCAGACTCGTCCAGATCGTTTCTTGTTGATTCGTCGGCTGCGACGCCGCCGCGTAGGCGACGGGCCTCGTTCCGCTGGAAATGCGGGGGCATCGCACCGAAAGTTGGTTGGCCTGCTGCTGTGCTCGTCTGTGGCTGGCTCTTCTAACTCGGACATTGGTGCTGAACGCGCGAGTGCGACTCTTGGGCGAGGCTCGGGTCCTTCTCCTCTCCAGGGTCCAGTTTGATCCGATAGATCCGATTCGACTTCTGCCGCGGCCAGCCCGATCCGACTCGGTTCCGACACTCCGACGATCCGATGCGGCCCGAGGTTCGCTTGGCGCTTTCCTCCTTCCTGTGCGCTGGCGCGGCCGACCCGATTCGACATCGACGCCGTGCCGATGCAGCCCAGTCCGACGCACTTTCCGATGCGACCTGCTTTCCCGGCTCGATGCCGCCGATCAAACACAATATCAGAAACGTTGGCTTTCGAAGGTCCGCGTGGATTTTTAGGATCTGCGTATGACACCCCTGGCGGCGCATCGGCCGCCGCCCAATGCGCGCTCCGCGCGCCACGGAGGATGGCCTGGCGCAGATCCGAGCAATCCGCGCGGACCTCGAAGTTCCTGCTTCTGCGTCTTTCTCTTCCTCTGCTCTAGCTGACCCCCTCCTCCTCCCGGCCCCCGCCTGGCAGACCCCACGGGGGCGTCGGCCGCCCAGCGGGGCCACGGCCTCGGATGCGGTGGCCGTCCGCGCTGCTGCCGGTGCTGGCGGCGACCCACGGCGGCCATGGGGGCCCCGCAGGCCGCGGTGCCTCAGCCGCTCGTGGTCGTCGTCGTCGTCGTCGTCGTCGACGTCGTCGTTGTCGTCGTCGTCATTGCCATCGCCGCCGCCCTCCTCCACTCCACTCAAGACTTTTTGCCACCTCCCTTCACACCACCTTTTCTTCTTCCCCTTCCCTCCCTAGTGCTCGCAGTCGTCGTTTTCGTTGTCGTCTATCATCTTCCTCCTCCTCCTCCTCCTCCTCCTCCTCTTTCTCCTCCCCCTCCTCCCGTCGCCGTGGTGATGGTCGCCGCCGCCGCCGAGCGCGGGCGTTCAAGATTGCATTTCATCAGCTGGCTTAGCTCGACAAGCATCGAGCGGCCTGCGCTTTCGCAGAGCCGCGTTCGTCCACGGTTGAACGATCGATTTGGTGCCAGAAACCAACGCGCAAGTCGTCACGGCATGAGTCTCCCTCGCCCACACGCCCTCCGTACTCCTTCTCTTTATTACCTTACTCATCGCCCCCGTCTTCACCCAGACCGCCATCCACTGGCCAGTGTCCTCCTCATCCTCTTCCGCGTCCCCACACCAATCCTCATCCGCATCCACGCCCTCACTATCACATGTGGTCTTCCTTTCCTCACCCCTTCAAGGTCGTCACGGTCTGAGCGTGCTCCGCCGTCCGCGGCCTCCTTCTCTTGTCCTCCGCTGACCTCCGCCGACTTCACGGCCGGCTCGAGGGTCTGATTGCCTTTGTGGGCAAGCTCGTGGTCACCGCCCACCACCACCCCACCGCTAAGCAGGCGCACTGCCCAACTACCTATGCCGAGATTCCCCTTCAAGCTGAAGGCCACAATGCTGATCTTGGAGAAGAACGTGAGGCCCGCCAACATTGGCATTCTCTCGTGGTCGGAATTCAGCATCTGCGTGCTATACCGGGATCTCACAGGCAGCGACAACGGCCTGTGCCCCGATATCGGGCCCTTGGAGCTGACTTTCCTCAGCGGGTGCTTCTCGTTTGGGCAGATCCCCCTGGACAGGGCGCTGCCGCCCGCTCCACTCCCCAGCGTGACCAAGACCCCCTGCTACCTGGCCCCTGGCGACACCCGATTTAGCGCCGACCGAAAGACGGCCAGGTACAAGAGCGACCACTGCTACAAGGCCAATCCCAAGCACACCGAGGGCACATGGCTCAACGACACCACCGCTCGTACTTGGCTCAGAATCGCTTGCAGGCGCATGCCGATGGATTAGACTGCACATGGTTGTGCGGCCAATGCTGGGCACAAGACGTAGAGAAGCAGGGCCACCAAGTTTCCCCAAAGGACCCCCTCCACGAGCAGGTGGAAGCCCTCGTGCTTGTCAGGGACCCCCCCAGGCCCCCTCCCGTGGACGCCTTTGCTCTGACTGCTTCCCAACATACGCGCTTGGCGCTGCCCCCCACAGTGCCCCATGACGCTCTCGAGGATTACCTGCTGGAGCCCACGGGCCTTCAGGTTCCAAGGAACGCCAACGCCACCCTACCGCCCACCCAGCTAGAGGACGACAGGTTCGGTCACTCAGCAGGTGATTCCAATCGCCACACCGGCACGTGCGACGGGTGCCCACCCGGGACCCCTCCTCTCTTCTGGCAGGCCGGTGCGCCCGCGCCGGGCTGTTTTGTATGGAAGGCTGACATGGAGTCGCAAGACGCAGGCGTCGGTGGTCGCCCTGCGTGGAGGGACCGGTCCGTGGCCTGGAACAATCGCAACTGGAGCGCCGCGTGGATGTGTCGCCGATGCCTCGTCCACTCGTGGGGCGTCAAGCCCAGCGTCGTTGATGGACCTCGACCGCGACGCCCACTTGATCTACCCCTGCTCCCCAACTTCGAAGCCGCGCTCCGCCCCTCCAGTGCCCGACGAGCCGTCGCTAGCCGACGAGCTGGCACCCGGCCGCGCCTCTGCCACGAAGCTCGTCCCGCTCAGCACAAACGGTGGTGCCCTCAGCCCTCCCCCCCCCCGGACCATCTGCGGGAGACCCACCGCAGTGCGCGGGGCCGTGGAGATGCGCAACCTCCCCCCCCATGTCGACTCCCCCAAGGGCCCCGCGCTGGCGTGCGTTGTCATCGACCACTTGGAGGCCGCCGCGGAGGTCGAGCGGAGCCGCCCGAACGCCAAGCCCATGGAGGTTCGTCTGATTGACTTCCTGCGCGACCTGGACCCAATCGTGTGCGACCTGTGGAGGGACTGCGTCGCAGAACTGGGCAGAGACGTCACGGGCTCCGAGGCCCCTGACAGTTGGGGCCCGCTCTTGCTACGCCCCTTCCTGAAGAGGGTCTACGGCGACAGAGCTGCGCAAAAAAAAACAACCTCCCCGATGAGTTCCACTTGCAAGGTAAGCGACTCGCCGCCGCCCGCGTGGTCGCTCACCTCTGCGCTCATTCGTCGAACAGCACAATGCGACCTAAGTGGCTCCAGCATGCCAACCGATGGTCCGTGCGCGGCCCTTCCCCACTCCGCCCTGCGCTGGATGCTCTCGTGGGGTTCCTGACGCAGCTTAGCTCTGACAGGCTCACCTCTGGGTCCTTTTGCGAGCTGGCGAAGGGCGTTCCTTTCGAGGGTGCGCAGGGGCCATGCAGGCAGCTCGGCGACACCCTCGCCAGGCGGCACAGCGACAACGATCGGTGTAAGCAGTTCAACGACGAACGGAGGGAGATTGCCGACCCACTTGCTGAGTTCCACACCTTTGCCGCCCATTCGTTCGATCAACCTGATTGGGCCAGCGCCGTGCCCTCCCCCTCGACGCCTGGGCGGAGTGGAACCGGCCCCCCCCTCACCCGTAAAGTTGCCGGTCCCCGGCAGACGGCCGCCCGCGGCGGGCGAGCCCAACCGCCGACGACCCTGGCACTGGCGCAACGGCCCCGGGCGCGCCCCCCCCGCGTGAGGCCAGCGCAACGGGCCTCCCCCTCGCAAGCAGGGGCGACGACACTGCTGCCCACGGAATGGCCGCTTCCGACACCTCACTGTCTCGCCTCCCTGAGCGTAGGTCCCCGCCATCCCCCGGCATGCCCTTGCAGCCCCGGGTGGGCGATGCGGCGCGGGGGGCGCGACTGGGGCGAGGGCTGGGGTGAGCGCCGCCCACGTCGGCATCGCGAGGCCAGCCGCAGCAGCCCCTTCAGCGGCAGCTGGCCAGGATGGTCAGGCTGGGGCAGCTGGGAGGCGGGCGACCGCTGGAGTCGGACAGCGCACGCTCGCGCACCCCGTGTCCCTGATGCCCCCAACATCTCGGTCCGGCCCGTGGCCCTCCTACGAGCGCGCAAGCTGACCTTTCGCAGAACCTGACTGACCCACTCACTGGCCTTTACATTTACATCACTCCTCTGGAACGTGATCTCACCACTCCCCCTGGCGAGACCCCAGCCGAGACTGTGAAGCGACTCCAGAGGGACCTTGGGGGGGTGCAAGTGGGTGACCGAGCACCCCGCCAAGTCCGGCCACATTTGTGCCGACCGCAATCCGCAGGAGCCCGAATCATGCCTGCGTTTCCTCGAAGAGTGGATCCGTCACAGCTGCCACGCCGTGAAGATGGGCGACTCGCTTCGCCTGGGCGTCGACTGGCCTGCGGTCCGTAGTCGGTTCGCTGACAGGATCAAGGGCAGGGGCGCCCCAGGCAAAGCCAAAGGCAAGGGATTCCGGGGGGGCAATTACTCCAGCTGGACGAGGGCGGAGGAACCGTGGCGGCCCGCGAGCTCGCGCCAGCCCTGGGCGTACCCCTAAGACCCTGTCCAGGCCCTCGCGGGCGCGGGCGCGCCATGTCTGCGACCCGGGCCAGTGCCGCCCCGCGCCGCGCAACAGTGTCTCCCATGGTAGCACCAGCCCCCGCCGCGCAGGCGTGCCTGGTTGACTTCTCCAGCGCGCCACCTCTGCTATGCGCCGAATGCCGTCTTGGGCGCGCCCTGCTGGGGTTGTTGGCTCGTCCCGGGCATGCGTGAGTTCCTTCTGGGTCCTCACTTTGCGGCCTCTTTCCCCCTGGATGACTGCCGCCCCCCCCTGGCGCGCCTTAGGCGAACCCCGGGGCAGGCTGCGGGCCTCCAGTATTGCTGGGGCCCCCGCGGCGCCATTTGCAGCCTAGTGCCGCCCTGCCCAGCGTCTCCCTGGGCGGTGCTTGGCAGTCGGCGCCCCCGCGGCAACGGGGGGCCACTCGCCGCTCCACGAAACGATTTGCCCTGGCGGCTGACACCCGCCGCGGCGCCCTGCCAGTCGCGGGCCCCCCCATCCCCGCCGCCCCTACGGAGGCGCCGCGCTCTTCTTTCAGGCTGCCACACCTGCCCCCCGACTCCGCCCCCCGCCCGCCTCCTGGCTCCCGCCCCCCGCGGTGCTTCACCCCGGCCGCGGCTGTCAGCTGCGTTTTCACGCCCCCCCCCCCCGCCCGCCTCCTTGCCCCCGCCCCCGCGCCCCGCCCCCCGCCCGCCTCCGCGCCCCCGTCCCCGCGCCCTTCTGCCCCTACTGCAGGTTGCGGCCCCCGCCGCTTGTCGCCCGCCCCCCGCCCGCCCCCTGGCCCCCGTCCCCCGCGGATTATTGACCGTTTCTGCGGCTGTTAGCTGCTTTCCCTCGCCCGCTCCCCGCCCGCTCCCCTTCCCCCGCCCCCCGCGCTCCCCTCGGTTGCTTCGCAGTTGCCGCGGCTGCTAGCTGCGTCCTTGCCCTCGCCCCCCGTCCGCCCCCGTGCCCCTTGCCCCCCCGGCGGCCCGGGTCCACCCTCCGCGTGGCCTGGCCCGCCGCCCCCCGACGCTCCCCGCCTCCGCTGGCGCCCCCCCCGGCTCGCGGGCCCCCCCCCGGGGCGCCCCGGGGCGCCGGGCCGGCGCCGGCGGCGCTTGGTCGTGCCGGCTGCCGGGCTGGTCCAGCCGCCCTGCGCCGGCGCTGCGGTCGTCTGGCTCCGGCTTCCACCCGAGCTCGGTTGACCGGTGCAGGCCACGACGCTCGCTGAGGGCCACTCCGTCGTCGAGTGCGCGCAGGCTAGTGGACGGGTCTTGCTCTGCCGACGGTTGGCTTCCACCCCGCGTGCGAGTGGCGCCGGGCAGCGACGCGCGCTGACGTTTGCGACGTGTGTTAGCTGGCGGCGACCTCCGTCTTGTCTTTCGCTTGGTTCTTCGCTGCGGGCATGGCGAGCATCTGCGCCGCGGCTGTCCTGGCTCTTCACCCTTGGTCTGACGCGTTAATTCACCCACCATTTTGGTGTGCATCGAGTCCCTCCTGGTCCTCCTTGGCCTGGTGGACTTCCTGGACTTCGCCGGCCCCGCCGCCTGAGCGACTGCGTAGCGCGCTCCGGTCGCTGTGGCCCCCTGTTAGGCCGTAGTTTAGATCGTTGCGTTGTTGCCTCGCTTCTCGACGGCGCGCAGTTGCTCTGTGTCGTTCGCGAGCCAAAAAGAAATTCCACCAGCCCGTTCGATGCTCAGAGGAATTGCCTCGATCAGCGAAGTGTGCAGCACGCAGAGGAAGGGTCCCCCAATGGAGGCCTCTTGGAGCGTCTTGGGGGCCTCCCAGAGGTCCCGGACGCCTCTTGAGGCGTCTTGGGTGCCTCGGAGAGCTTCTTGGGCTCTCTTGGAGGTCTCTTGGGAGCCTCTTTGGAGGCCTCTTGGGCGCTTATTGGGGCCTCCTTGGGCCTCCTGGGCGCCTCTTGGGGCCCTCTTGAAGCGCTCTTGGGGGTCTTGGGAGCGTTCTTGGAGCCCTCTTGGGCCATCCTGGAGCCGTCTTGAGGCCTCGGACGGCCATGGGAAGCGGAAAGGCGAGAAAGGCAAAAACGCAGATTTCCGAAGGTTTTGGGAGGTTCTTGGCCTCTTCGGGGCCTCCCCGGGAAGCTCTTCGTCCACTTGGAGCCGTCTCGGAGCGGTCTTGGGGCCTCTTGGGGCATCGTGGGAACCATCTTGGGGCATCTTGGGATATCTTGAGCCATCTTGGAGGTCATATTGGGCTCTCCCCGTCGCTCTTGAAGTCATCTGAAGCAGTGCCCCCCCCAGGAGGCCAACAGGTGGCCAAGACTTTGGTAACATCAATGATTACTGCATTATCGCCGAGGCCTCTTGGAGCGTCTTGGGTGCCGCTGGGGGGCCTCTTGGGGCTTCTTGGAGGTTGGGAGGCTCTTAGGGGCATCCTGGGGGCCTCTTGGGTTCTCCTGGCCACCTCTTGTGGCCCTCTCGAGGCACCCTTGGGCGCCTTGGGAGCGCTCTTGGGGCCATTTCGGAGGAGATCGATCAAACAAGAGGGGAGCTTGAATTAGGCCCCCCCCAGGAGGCCAAAATGGGGCCAAATCGGTTGTAAAACCAATGATTTTTGGTTTCCCCGCCGAGGCCGTTTTGGACGCTCCGACCGCTCGCGGAACGCCCCGTCCCCGAAGGGGAGGGGGTAATGGGGGAGGGGTAGACCCCTCCCCGAAGGGGAAGAGGGAGGGGTGGAAGAGGAAACGCCTTAGACCACCCACGCCCAGAAGGTTGGTGGGAATGTACATGCGTGTGTTCGTTTTCCGGGCATCGTCGAGCCAACGTGCTTCAGCGCTCGGGCGCCACTGCGGTTCTCTTGCAGGACCGTTATCGAGGACTGTTGTCGGCGTCCTGCTTCCTGTCCCTTCCCCGCTCCCCTACCCATGCTTGGGAGTAGTTGTCTTTGTCATGGCGGCTCGCTACGACAGGGTTGAAATGCTTAAGGAAGGAAGGAAGACATGGCACAAAAGGCAACCGGCAACACCCAGTCCCAGAGTGAACCTCTGGGATCCAGAATTGTGCCAAAGGGCTAGGAGAAGACCTCGCGGACCAAGAACAAGGTGGACTCACAACCTCTGAAGGGCTACGTCCCCTCCGCCGTCCTCAGGAAGTACCTTCCGCGCGCGCGACACTGTGTCGGCGCTCACTCGCTCGCTCGCCAATGGCGTGTCGTTATAAGGATCTAGTAGTGGTGAGAAGCGACCACAGAAGATTGCCACAGGGGGGATGGGAAGTCCTAGACCGCCCAGTCTGGCAGTAGCTTCGCCCGAATTTCTCCCACGATGTAGCCAGGCATCGTGCTCTGGCCTGACTGCTGGCCACGCTGATGGGCCGCACGGTCACGATCCCTTCTCACAAGATACACTGAGGTGCACATGGCCGTGTTTCGACCTCCTACTCCTTGACCCGCCTCTTCACGTTTGCCGCGATTGGGGTGCTGGGGTAATTGATCAAGGTTTCGCTTGTGAGCCTTCACGCGTTGCTGTCATTCGCCTTGGGCGAATCTCTGTTACGGGCTTCCGTTGCGAGTCTCGTGCGGTGCCGTCAAGGGGATGCATGCAGAAACAGGAAACGATGAGTCATGGCCACCTGCCGCCTCCTTCTTCTCCTCCACCTTCTCCCCCATTCCTATTCTTAGTGTCTTTTTGCTTATGTTTCGCTTAGCTTGTTTTGCGCGGCAGTTGTTTACGACGCAACCGCCGAGTTGAACAATGTGAGAAGTAGGTTGTCGATGGCGAGTGTTTCTTATGCCAGCCCCTTATCCCCCAACTCTCGACATTGCACCGAGGGCGCTGAGTGGTTCACTCAAGGTGCCGTCGACAAAATGAATATCACCAATTGCAGTACTTTGCATCCAGGGTATTTTGAGGCGGTACCGTCGCAAAATATTTGTTCGCGGCTACATAGAGCCTGACACTACAGAACCCAAGACGCTGGAATAAGGACTACTTCGGTCTCAGGTGGGGTTTTGATTCTCGGGCTGTTTATTATATCCGGTTCGAGGAACCTCTTCGTTGCCAAGGCCCACCGGTGCAAGAAAAGCTCCTTCGTTCCGTACTCAGCGCTCCTTATGGCACGATCACTGCACTCTCGAGAGGTCTCCTGGAAGTCGAGGCCAGGAGGCCTCTGGAGCTGCCCCAGAGGCCTCCAGTGGCCTCCCGTGTCCCGACATGTTTTCGGGAGAAGTGTGAGGGCCATGCGCGCAGCGGCAGCTCACGTCGTGCCGCGTCGTGGCGTGCTCGTGTCGTGCCGATGCGGCAGCGGTTCCGCCGCGGGCGTCTCAGGGCGAATGCTGCCGGTGGTCCAGAATCGGGGAACAGGTGATGATCTGGCCATTCTCCTACCCGTGCTGCTCGCGGCGCACGTGAGACCCGAGAGAAGTTGGGGCAGGGGAGGTGGCCGCTGCGACGGTCTTCGTCTGCCGGCCGGTGCGAGCGCCGCTGGTCGTACCGCCAGGGTGGGCAGGGGCGCGCGCACGGCGGGCCGGCCTGGAGAAGGAGCATGACGAGGGGGATCAGGAGGGACGAAGAGCAGTAGGGAGGTGCAGAGAAGCAAGGCAAGGTGGGGAGGACGGAGGGAGTGTGGAGTGCCAAGTGAAGGGAGATAAGAGAGGATGAGGGAGGGTGGGAGGGAGGGAGGGCAGAGGAGGGGGAGGACGAGGAGGAGAATGCGGAGGAGGAGGAGGAGGAGGAATGAAGGAGTGTGAAATCATCATCGAGGAGGGAGAAGTAAGGAGTGAAGAGTCCGCTGCGAGGAGTGAGAAGGGAGAGCGAAGCGTGAGGAGTGTTGATTCCGGAGGAAGGAGAGAGCAGGAGTGAAGTGGAGGATGAGTCATGATGTCTGTGGCAGGAGTGTGGAGTAAGGAGCGTGTAGTGAGAAATGAGGAGCTGGAGGTGCAGGAGGAGGAGGAGGAGGAGGAGGAGGAGGAGGAGGAGGAGAAGTAAGAGGAGGACCGCAGTAATCCCAGGTTGCATCAACGTTGGTGCAATCCACCCTCCCGTCTCAAATCCCCCTCCTCACAAGTCCCTACATCAATTCCCTCTCACTACCAGCCGCGTCTCGTTGAAATGAGACCGCCACATTGGCCTTCCTTTCAAGCGGGGGCCCCGTTTTGAAAAGGAAATGCCATGCATCCCTCTAGCTAGGAGTGCGAAGAGACAGGACCACGAAGGTCAAGGACGTGTCCCACTGTTAAACTGAAACGCTGTTTATCTCTGTAGCTGTCGGAAGCTTTTAATACGAGGAGTGCGCGCGGCTCTAATGCAACAGCCACTTCGCGTGACAATTACACTTCTAGCTATTGGGAACTTTGTTGTGATAATGTAACACATGTGCGCGGCGCTGATGCGAGATCAACATTTCGGAAACTGGCGGCCATCCATCCGTGCACCTGTTGAGAATGTCATGCTTCAGGGTTATCCAGAGTGAGGAAACCTCAGGCGAAACTTCTGTCCCGCCCTACCGACAGGTTTGGTAGTGGGACGTGGAGAAGTCATTTGTACGGTCAAGGGGCATGACGGTGGTGACTGTGGTAGTGGGTGTCGTGGTGACGACGACTACAAGATGATGATGATGATGATGATGATGATGATGATGATGATGCTGATGATGCTTATGACGACAATGATGATGATGGCGGTATTGATGATGATGATGGTCATGATGATGATGATGATGATGATGATGATGATGATGATGATGATGTTGATGACGATGATGATGATGATGATGATGATGATGATGATGTCGACGCTGATTTTGCTTTTGATGACGATGATGATGCTTATGACGATGCTGATGCTGATGATTGTTATGCTGATGCCGATGCTTCAGATGATGATGCTTCTGATGATGATGTTGGCGGAGATGATGATGCTGATGCTGATGATGATGATGCTGATGCTGATTATTCTACTGTTGTTATTGTTGTGGCTGTTGTTGTGGTAGTAGTAGTAGTAGTAGTAGTAGTTGTTGTTGTTGTTGTTGTTGTTGTTGTTGTTGTTGTTGTTGTTGTTGTTGTTGTTGTTGTTGTTGTTGTTTTTGTTATTGTTGTTGTTGTTGTTGTTGTTGTTGTTGTTGTTGTTGTTTTATTTGTTGTTGTTGTCGTCGTTGTCGTTGTCGTCGTCGTCGTCGTCCTCGTCGTTGCTGTTATTGTTGTTGTTGTTGTTGCTGCTGCTGCTGCTGCTCTTGTTGTTGTTGTTGTTCTTGTTGTTGCTGCTGCTGTTGAACTCGCATTACTGAAACAATAACTGTTGATCCTCCCCTCCGGTGACCAAAGTGTTTTTTCAATGGAAGTTCTTCCCCTGGGGCTCGCACCCTGTTTTTTTATCAGGGAAAGTCACTGGGCTCACACTGGGCCCCTGGCCTCCGGTTTACAACATCAGCGGCTCCTGCCTGATACGTCCTCACAATTTATCCGTAAGGGCTTCGCCCCCTGCCGCCGGCCCCCTCTCTCGGAGAATGGGCCATGGAAGAGCTAAGTCATGAGGCTTTGGCTTCGCCGTGAAGCAGTGTCGGGACCTGTTTGTTTTTCGACCCTGACCCTACGGATCTGCGTGAGGGGTGCCGCCGAATTTCAGAAATGTGGCAAATCCCTTATGTTTTTGGACCCTGACCCTACGGATCTGCGTGAGGGGTGCCGCCGAATTTCAGAAATGTGGCAAATCCGTTTTGTTTTTGGACCCTGACCCTGCCGATCTGCGTGAGGGGTGCCGCCGAATTTCAGAAATGTGGCAAAACCCTTGTGTTTTTGGACCCTGACCCCGCCGATGTGCGTGAGGGGTGCCACCGAATTTGAGAAATGTGGCAAATCCTTTGTGTTTTTGGACCCTGACCCCGCCGATCTGCGTGAGGGGTGCCACCGAATTTCAGAAATGTGGCAAATCCATTGTGTTTTTGCACCCTCACCCTGCCGATCTGCATGAGGGGTGCCGCCGAATTTTGGAAATATGGCAAATCCTTTGTGTTTTCGCACCCTGACCCCGCCGATCTGCGTGAGGGGTGTCACCGAATTTCAGACATGTAGCAGATTCCTTATGTTTTTGCACCCTGACCCCGCCGATCTGCGTGAGGGGTGAAAGGAAATTTTAGAAATGCTTTAAATCCCTTGTGTTTTTGGACCGTGACCCCGCCGATCTGCGTGAGAGGTGCCACCGAATTCTAGAAATGTGGCAAATCCATTTTGTTTTTGGACCGTGACCCCGCCGATCTGCGGGAGGGGTGCCACCGAATTTCAGAAATGTGGCAAATCCCTTGTGTTTTTGGACCCTGACCCCGCCGATCTGCGTGAGGGGTGCCACCGAATTTTGGAAATATGGCAAATCCTTTGTGTTTTTGGACCCTGACCCCGCCGATCTGCGTGAGGGGTGTTAATTTTTACCCACCCCAGCAATTCAGAGCATACGATTTGGGCGTGGTAGAAATGCGCATTTTGGGCCTCCCCCCCTCGCGCGGTCCATCAACAAGGAACAGTAGGCAGCAAGAAGTCAACAAGGAACAGTAAGCAGTAAGAAGCAGAGCTGTAACAGTGGACACTGGAAGCTGCAACTGGTACAGGAATCTGCGAACCTTAGCGTTACAGCCTGGTGGCCCCGCAAAGGGGCCGGCGGATTCCCAAATCGCGCCTTCGCGCGGGACTTCCTCCAAATTCATGTACGCATCGCGCTCTCGCGTGTGACTTCCACGCAATTTATTCAGACGATGCGCCCTCGGCGCTTAGAAGTCACGCTCTCGCTTTGGCTTTTTTCGCGATTGTTGAATTGTCACTATTGAAGAATAATTATTGTTGATCCCCCCTCACCGGTGCATACTGTTTTTTCTTAATCAAAGTGTGCCCCTCGACGCTCGCACCCTGTTTTTTGACAGCGAAAGTCTTCCTGCTCAAACTGGGCCCCTTGCCCCCCGGATTACAACAACAACGGCTTCCGCCTGAGAATTCCTCCAAATTTACTCAGGACCCCCGCTCTTGAGACTTCCTTACAATTTACTCAGGATCGATGCTCCCGCCTGTGACTTCCTCGCCATTTTTGTCAGGACCCCGTCCCATCTGAGACTTCCTCACAATTCACTCAGGAACGGCGATCCCGCTTGAGAATTCCTCGCAATTGAGTCAAGACTTCCTTGCAATTTAATCAAGACCCCTGCTCCCGCCAGAGAACCCCTCACATTTTATTCAGGAATTGCGCTCTCGCTTGTGACTTCCATGCAATTTATTCGACGCTCAGGAAACACGCTGCGCCAAGGACGCCGTTACAATTTACTTGGTAATCGCGCTCTCGCCATACTCAGGCATCCCGCTTGAATGTCCCAACCGCACGACCCGCCTGTCAGGGGATCACCCGCCGGTCGTGGGCTCCCGCCCGAGACTTCCTGCAGGAACGGCGCTTTCGCTTAGGACTTCCTCGAACGTTCACGCTCTCACCTTCCTGTTCCTCCTCCCTCTCCCTCTTCCCTCCTCTCTCCTCTCCTCCCTTCTCTCTCCCTCCTCTCTTCCCTCATCCTTTTGCCTCTCTGCCCTATCCCTTCTCCCTCCTCTCCCTCCTCCCTTATCCCTCCCCTCTCCTGCCTTCTCCCTCCCTCTTTCTTTCTCTCTTTCCCCTCTCTCTCTACCTCTTTTTTTTTTTTTTTTCTCCTTTCTCTCTCCCTGCCTCTAATCAACCGCCCCCCTCTTCGCTCCTTCTCTCCTGGCGTTTTCCCTCTTCCTTCGTCCCTCCCCCCCCCTTCCTCCCACTCTCCCTCGTTCTCCCCCTCCTCTTTTTGCAGGGCCCACACCACTTCCAATGGCGGGCACATGTACGCCCACGAAGGATTGTCCGCCCGTTCAGGTTTGCCCGCCTGTCTAAGCCCGCCGCCCCCCCGCAAAGAGAAATCATCCCCCCAAAGGGGGTGTGATCGAAGACAAAAAGGGCGGGTATCGAGGGTGTGGGGAACTCGTTTTGAATGACGCACGGCAAGTACGTGCGAACGGTCTTAAAATTATCGTTGTTGTTGAGGTTGTTGTTGTGGTGGTGTTGGTTTTGGATGTGGTTGTGGTTGTGGTTGTGGTTGTGTCTGTGGTTGTAGTTGTGGTTGTGGTTGTGGTTGTGGTTGTGGTTGATGTTGTTGTTGTTGTTGTTGTTGTTGTTGATGTTGATGTTGTTGTTGTTGTTGTTGTTGTTGTTGTTGTTGTTGTTGTTGTCGTTGTCGTTGTCGTTGTCGTTGTCGTTGTTGTTGTTGTTGTTGTTGTTGTTGTTGTTGTTGTTGTTGTTGTTTTTGTTGTTGTTGTTGTTGTTGTTTTTGTTGTTGTTAATGTTGTTGTTGTTGTTCTTGTCATTGTTGTCATTGTTGTTGTTGTTGTTGTTGTTGTTGTTGTTGTTGTTGTTGTTGTTGTTGTTGTTGTTGTTGTTGTTGTTGTTGTTGTTGAACTCTCATTTCTGAAGAATAGAATATTTTTTGTTGACCCCCCCATTGTGCACAGGGTTTTTTCGACTGAAGTGCCCTTCCCGAGGCTCGCACTCGGTTTTTTAGGAGGGAACGTCTTGAGCGTCAAACTGTGTCGTTGACTCTCGGTTTACAACAACAGCGGCTCCCACCTGAGACTTCCTCACAGTTTTTGCCAGGACACCCGCTCCCGCCCGAGACCTCCTCGCAATTTATTCAGGAATCGCGCTCTCGCTTGGGACTTCGTTACAATTTATTCAGGAATCGTTCTCCCGGCGCTCTGGAGTCGCGCTCTCGCTGGAGACTTGCTTGTAATTTATTATAGAATAGCGCCCTTGCGTAGGACTTTCTTGTAATTTACTCAAGCGCCGCGCTCCCGACACCCAGGCACCCAGGAGTCGCGTTCACGCTTAGGATTCCCTCACAGATTACCCAGGAATCGGGGTCTCGCTGCCCTTCGTGGCCCCGTTGCAGCCCTTCGTGGCCCCCTCGCTTTGTTTCGTGGCCCCGTTGCAGCCCTTCCTGGCCCCCTCGCTGCCCTTCGTGGCCCCGTTGCAGCCCCTCGTGGCCTCCTCGCTGCCCTTCGTGGCCCCGTTGCAGCCCTTCGTGGCCCCGTCGCTTTGTTTCGTGGCCCCGTTGCAGCCCTTCGTGGCCCCCTCGCTGCCCTTCGTGGCCCCGTTGCAGCCCTTCGTTGCCCCGTTGCAGCCCTTCGTGGCCCCCCCGCTGCCCTTCGTGGCCCCGTTGCAGCCCTTGTTGGCCCCCTCGCTGCCCTTCGTGGCCCGATATACGTATGCACTTCGTGGCCCCCGCTCGTTCGCGCCGGTTTTGGCCCCATGTGCATGCCTTTCGTGGCCCTGCTGTCGCCGTTCGTGGCCCCCTCGCTGCCCTTCGTGGCCCCGTTGCTGCCCTCAGTGGCCCCGTTCTTGCCTTCCGCGGCCCAATATACGTATGCACTTCGTGGCCCCCGCTTGTTCGCGCCGGTTTTGGCCCCATGTGCATGCTATTCGTGGCCCCGCTGTCGCCGTGTGTGGCCCTCTCATTGTCCTACGTGGCCCAGTTGCTACCGTCAGTGGCCCCATTGTTGCCTTCTGTGGCCCCGCATTATCTGCCTTTCGTGGCCCTTGCTCGTTCGCGCTCTTCGTGGCCCCATACGCATTCTCTTCGTGTCCCCGCTGTCGCCCTTCGTGGCCTACTTCGTGTCCTTCGTGGCCCTGCCGTCGTTCTGTCTCTCTCTCTCTCTCGCTTTCGCTCGTAGTCGCCGCCGTCGTCGTCGTCGTCGTCGTCGTCGTCGTCGTCGTCGTCGTCGTCGTCGTCGTCGTCGCCGTCGTCGTCGTCGATGTCGTCGTCGTCGTCGTCGTCGTCGTCGTCGTCGTCGTCGTCGTCGTCGTCGTCGTCGTCGTCGTCGTCGTCGTCCTCGTCGTGGTCGGTCCCCTGTTCGTCGTCCCTCCGGGGGTCGGGTCGACGGTCCGCGGCCGCCCCGCCGATCAACGCTGCCGCTGGCCAGGCCGACGGTCCGCGGCCGCCCCGCCGCTTGCGGGGGCCGGCCTGCAGGGAAGAAAGGTATACCCCCCAAAAGGGGTTCGATCGAAGACGGAGAGGGCGGGTATCGAGGGTTTAGGAAATACGCGTGATTCGACACTCGAGCAGATATGGGCGAACAGTCTTAAAATGGTTGTGGTTGTTGTTGTTGTTGTTGTTGTTGTTGTTGTTGTTGTTGTTGTTGTTGTTGTTGTTGTTGTTGTTGTTGTTGTTGTTGTTGTTGTTGTTGTTGTGTTTGTTGTTGTTGTTGTTGTTGTTGTGGCTGTTGTTGGTGTTGATGTTGTTGTTGTTGCTGCTGTTGTTGTTGCTGCTGTTGGTGTTGTTGTCGTTGTTGTTGTGATGTCCCACCTCGACGAGGATGATGGTGATACATATAATGTGCGATCCTCATGATGATGAGAAACAGGAGGATGATGATGAGGAGGGGGAGGAGAAGGAGGAACAAAAGGCCAATACTGAGGAGGAAGAGGAGGAGGATGAGGACCATGGTAAACCCAAGGGTCATCAACGATGTTGCCATAAACCCTCCCTCCAAGCTCCCTCATCGCAGGCCCCTACCAGGGTTCATGTCTACTCTGGGAACTGCCTTGTTGGAAGACAACCTTTTGAAGACCCTGAAGTATGCCAAAGCATGATTCTCGGGACTCCAACGCCGCAGATGGAACTGACTGTTGCGTCTTGACGATCCTGAGTCGTGCCAGAGTCCCACTCCTGGGGCTTCAACGCCGCGAATCAACGTAACTGTTTCACCCTTATAATCCTGAGTCTCTCTCAAACACAATGTTTGGTACGTTGACCATGGGAACCCCTGAAACTCGTGTAATTTTGGAAACGAATGTGCGCGGCGTTTAGGCGAGAACCACATTTTGAAAAAGGAATCGCCCTTAATCTGCGAAGCTCTTGCCAATTTTTAAAACGAATGTGCGCGGCGCGAAGGCGAGAGCCACATGTTGGAAATCACCCGCCCTCAATGTGTGAAAGTGTTGTCAACTTTTCAGCTTCATGGTCATAAATTTGTGAAGAGGTCCCAAGCGAAACGCCCAGCCCGCCCTTTCGACCAGTCTCGGGGTGCGACGGGGAGAAGTTGTGTTTAAGGAGGGGGAGGAGGAGTAGGAGGAGGAGGAGGAGGAGAAAAACGAGGATACTGAGGAGGAAGAGGAGAAGGAGGAGGAGGAGGAGGAGGAGGAGGAGGAGGCGAAGGAGGAGGAGGAGGAGGAGGAGGAGGAGGAGGAGCAGGAGCAGGAGGAGGAGGAGGAGCAGGAGGCCAGGAATGAGGAGGAGGAGGAGGAGGGATGATCGATGAGTGGGGATGAGTGGCATGAGCGAGCCGCCGAGTGTACCACCCCCCGCCAGTGGGCAGAACGCTTGGGCCCCGCGCTGAAATGGGGCTTGCCGAGTCCTGGTGCCTGCTCTGGGCTCCTCCCTGGCTCCCCCCTTTCTCCTTTCTCCTCCCTCCTGCTCCCTCCCCCTTCCTCCTCCCTCCTCCCTCCTCCTTTCTGCTCTTCCCTCCTCCCTCCTGCTCCCTCCTGCTCCCTTCTCCTCCCTCCGTCTCCCTCCTCCTCTCTCTTCCTTCCTCCCTCCCTCCTCCATCTTTCTTCTCCCTCCTGCCTCCTGCTCCCTCCTCCTCCCTCCTGCTCCCTTCTCCTCCATCCTCCACCATCCTCCCTCCTCCTCCTCCTCCTCCTTTCTTCGCCTCCCTCCTCCCTCCTGCTCACTCCTGCTCTCTCCTCCTCCCTCTTGCTCCCTCCTCCTCCTTCCTCTGCCGTCTCCCCCTTGCTCCGCCTCCTCCTGCTGGAGGTCTCTGGAGGTCTCTGGGGGTCGGAGGCCTCCTATACCCGGGCCCTAAGGGGGCCAGCCAGATCCCCAACCGTCGATGTTACCTCGCCTCCCCTCTCGTGGGCCCCCTCTCCTCCCCCCACCCAGTGGCTGGCTGCCTTGGCTCGAGGATGTCGGGTGCAGGGAGCGCCGAGGGCAGTGGCGCGCATCGCATCATATGGAATCGGCGAGTGGTGGTGGCGCTCCAACACAGGAGATGAGGAGGGAGGCGGAGAAGGCGGAGGAGGAATGATGGATGGACGGATGGATGGATGGATGGACGGATGGATGGATGGATGGATGGACGGATGGATGAATGGATGGATGGACGGAAGGATGGACGGACGAGGGGAGGGAGGTGGTGGTGGAGGAGGAGGAGGAGGAGGAGGAGGAGGAGGAGGAGGGAGGATCGCTTGCGGTGTCCGTGCGCGTTGCAGATCAGATGGAGAGGGCGGGCGGCGGCACTTGGCCGTGTGACCAGCTGGCGCAGCGGGAGAGGGAGCACACCAGCGATCAGGAGCAGCATATACGTTGTGTAACGACATTGCTTCGCACAGTTTCGTTTCATTCCGCTTTTTAGTCTTTCTGGCTTAATGGATCTGGCCCTGCGCAGCTTGCAGGCCGTCGCTCCTTGGGCCCCACTCCTTTCAGTCGCGCGCTGCCCAGACTGCAACTGTGTGGTTGACTGCCAGGTCAGCAACGATATTGTGGAACTGCTCGGACGACAACTGGAGCGGTGTGGACCCGAACGACTTGCGTGGCAAGCGTGTCCAGCCTGCCTTCAGTTGCTGTGCCTGGAGATCGGCTTCTCGCTATCCACGTTCGTTGGAGGCGTGGTGTTCGGCGTGAGCTTCACGGTGCTCGCAGGGTTGGTGGTGAGGCGCGGCGCTCGCTCGACGGCCCTTGAGATCGATGGCAGCACTCATCCCAGCAGAACGTACGCTGCGCTGCCTGCAGAGTCTGCAAGTGGGGTCGAGGGTCCTTGCCTACTACGACCCTCGCGATGACTACCGGCATGAGCGCATCATGCTGGCCCGCATCCGTGAGCGCAGATTTGTGGTGCTCACCGCGCACTGGGACATCTATGATGAGGACATGTCCCAGGCGCTGCGGCTGCTGCCGCTGGGCCCGCGCGGGGGAATGCCGATCCCCGCGCCACGAGGCCAGGTGCTGCGGGTGGACAACGCCCGTCTCTCGGCGGAGCTGCAGCAGGTCTGCGACGAGGCCGCGCAGATGGCGTCGGACATCCGCGCTGACGAGGACCTCCCAGATCCGCCGGTGGAGCCACGGCCGCTGGCCGACATGGCCGCGCCGGCGGCGGCGAGGGCGCCTGGTGGCGCGGGCGGCGCAGTGGCAGCGGCGGCGCCCGGGGGCCCTCCCGCAGCGGCAGCAAGAGCGCTGGTGGCGGCGAGCTCGGCGCCCGCTGGGGCCGCTGGGCATGGCGGCGCGGGCGGGCCCTTGCGCGCGGGGGTCCTCGCGCCGCCGCCTGCCCCCCCGCCTGGCGCGATCTGGGCGGCGGCGGAGACGCGAGGCGAGCTGGCGCGAGTGACGCCCATCCCGCCTGAGCTGCTCACGGCAGAGGGCCGGCCGCTGGCCATGCTCGGGGATCGCGGCGTGGTCGTGCTCGCGTCAGGGGCCTCACTCGCCGTGGCAGTTGCCGGCGCGCTCGAGGCGGAGCCGCCGGCGCTGGCCAGCAGCAGCGGGGGCCTCCGTACGCTGCCAGTCGTGTACTCAGTAGGGGGTTCTCGCACCAGGTCCTTCCATGGCGCGGTGGCCAATATGTCGACGACGGCCGTCCCGGATTGGAAGATCAAGAGGCCCAGGACGGCGGCCTGGCTGCTGCAGAAGATCTCGGAGGCTGGGTACGCGCCGTTGCAGAGGCAGTTCTGGTGGAGGTCGGTCCAAGGGCTCGCCGTTTCGGACGCGGCAGTGGACGACCGCCACTTCGCCTCGGAGGTCCTCCACGAGCTCACGACCTACGACCAGCTCAAGGCAGGTGAGCTCGTGGTGGCGGAGATCCTGTGCCGGCGATATCAGCTCTGGGAGGAGATCTACGCCTCCAGTTTGCGCGAGGCCGAGGCTGGCCAGGGCGCTGCCCCATCCCATGGCTGGGCGAGAGGTCGATCTTCCCTGGCCAGGACAGGAGCCGGGGGTCCGCGCTGGCGCGCCCTGCCCTCGAGAGCTGGGTGGCCGAGAAGCTCAGGGGGGAGAGCGCCATTCTTATGGGGCGCAGGAAGGGACGTGAAGGAAGGCTGCTGGAGAGAGGCGCTGACCCCGGCGCTGCCTCCGGCGACCAGGCGGCGGGTGCCGGGGCCCAGGCGCGTGGCCGCGGCCGCGGGCGCGGCGCCTGAGCCGCCGCCTCGCGCCAGGGGGGGCCCGGGCCCTGGCGCGAGTTTGCTGCAGGGGGGGCGAGGTGCGCCTGATGGTGATGCCGCCTCGCTGGGTTCTGGCGATGTCGGTCTCGTTCAAAGACGTGCTGCCCATCCCGCTCGGCTCGGAGGTGCTCCAGTGCCTGAAGGGATTCTCGTCTCTCGACGGCGAGCTCTCGCTGGGTCAGCGGCGCAAAGCCGCGCGCTGCAAGCGCCAGCGGCGCTGGGTGCTGGAGGGCGTCTCGGCGCTCAACGAGCTGGGTGGAGGTGGGCGGGCGGCTGGCAGCGTTGGGCGGTTGAGTCTGGCGCGACGTTCTGCGCTGCAGCATCTGGCCGAGGCGTGCGCTGCTGTGCCGCCCAAGACCTGGCTATGCCGATGAGCCAGCCATCTGGGCGAGAGCCGGCTACCAGCGCGGGATGATCTCCCTTCCCGCAGGCGGTGCAGGGCAGGTCGGCATCTTGCGGCTCCTGCCCGAGCACCTGCAGTCAACGCTGGAGTCCGCGCAAGGGCTACTGCGTTCAGAGCAGGAAGCTGCCGCTGCTTTGGAGGGGGCTGATATCGCGTGTTGCGTCGACGGCAGGCTGGCCCAGAGGGGCCGTGAGTGCGGGCGGTTCCTGCGTGAGCTGTGCGAGGCGGGGATCGTCGAAGTTTTGGAATGTGAGACGGATCGGATGGAGGAGATGGGCATCTTCTTCGTGCCATGCAATTGTGAAAAGCTGAGGCTCATCTTTGACACTCGGAGGGCGAACTGTCACTTCAGGGCGCCCGAGTACACGCGCCTGGCTTCTGGCGACGCCCTGAGCAGCTCGAAGTGCGCGCCTGGCGAGGAGGTGCACTTGGCTGCGGGCGACGTGGAGGTTTGGTTCTACCAGTACTTGCTACGTGGCTGGGCCAGGAACTACTTCTGTTTGCCGAGCGTGGCGACCCACTTGTTGCCAGCTCGGCTGTGCGCTGCCCTGGGGCCCGAGGCTGCTGGGCGAGCTAGAGTCGCTTTTCGTGTGTGAGTGGTTCCCATGGGCTGGAACTGGGCCGTGCACCTGGTACAGACAGCGCACCTGACCGTCCTTGCCTCAGTCTCCCCCGACGACGCCTGGCTGGTCGACGAGCAGCCGGGTGCGTGCCTCTCAGGGGATTCGGACGCAGCGAAGGTCCTGTACACAGACAACTTTGCGGCCCTCAGCACCGGGCGTGAGACCTCGATGCTAGTCGTCGCCAAGGTGCTGGAGGCGCTTGCCAGTCAAGGCGTGAAGGCATCTTTGGACTTGGACGTTGTGCTGCTCGGGTTCACGCTGGATTAGAAGACTGCCAGGTGGCGCCCCACGCCCAAAGAGTCCTGGAAGGTGCACGGTTGTATTCAGCACTTATTGGAGCCAGGGCGCCGCATCACCGGGCGTCAGATGGAGAGGCTGGTGGGGCGCATCGTCGCGCTGCTGTTGCTTCGAAGGGAGGCGCTAAGCCTGCTCAGTGCAGTCTACGTGTTCATCCGCGAGTCCTACGAGAAGGCGCAGCCGTTGTGGCCTAGCTGCCTGCAGGAGCTCAGGTCGGTGCTGGCCTTGTTGCCCGCAGTGTTTGCCGACGTGAAGAGGCCCTGGTACACGGGGGTGGGGGCCTTCGACGCCCCCCCGTGGGGCGCGGGCGTCTGCGCCTCTCGCTGGCCTCTAAGCTCGGCGCAGGCCGCGGCCAGGCAGCCGGAGAAGTTGCGCTTTCGTGGGCCCTTGGCGACTCTAGTTGCCCCGAGGGATGCAGCTCTCGCCGCTGACGCCATCGGGCTGTCGGACCCTGCGGCGCTCTTGTTGGGCCGCGCGGCGGGCTTCGTCGAGGTGGGCGCCGAGCTGCTGCGCGATGCCACCTGGGTCACGGCTGTTGCATGCGGGTGGAGGCGCCAGAGTGCCATCCACAGGCTGGAGAGTTCGGCGGGAATTCTCTGGCTGCGGCGCGCCTCTCGCAATTCACGGTGTCTCGGGCATCGGCTGCTCAGCCTTGGAGACAACATGTCAATGATATGTGCACAGGAAAAGGGCCGTGCCTCAGACTTCGGGCTCTTGTCTGGATGTCGCTCTTCGTTTGCCATCTCGGTCGCGTGCTACCTGAAGGTCACATTCAAGTGGGCCCCCTCAGAGCTCAACCCTGCGGATGGTCCCTCGAGACGCCTCCAGACTGGTCCGGGGCCGTCTTGGCCCAAGCAGTCGGAGGAGTTCAGGCGTCACCGCGGCAGTGGCGATGCTGCAGGTCCGCGCGCTGCAGGCCGCCCCGCCGCTCGGGCAGCCGGGCCTGCCGGAGCTGGCAGGCGCTTCGCCGACCCGGAAGCAAGCCGCTGGTGGTGGCGGATCCGTCGCGAACAGAGCGCCGCCACCGCAGCCTTTCGACCAGGAACGGGCCCGCTTGCTGTCCCGCCAGGGCTTTCTGGCTGGCAACAAGGTGCGACCCTCCACTCAGGTGCTCTACCTGGAGGTGTTGCGTCTGCTGGCAGGCTGGCTCATGCTAGACGTGCTGCCCGACTGGCCTGTCGCGATCTGGGACGTGGTGCTTGCCGACTTCCTACTGTGGGCCTTCGACTGGGGTGTGGCTCGAGCGACAGCCGCGAGGCTGGGGGCGGCGCTGCTCTGGGGGCTTCCGCAGCTCCACGTGGCGCCCTTGCAGAGGTGTTTCCCGCAGCTGGCCCACGCGCTGGCGGGGTGGAAACGCCTTCGCCCGCCAAGCTCGCGCCCGCCCCTGCCCGAGCTGGTAGTTCGTGCGGCTGCGGCCTGGCTTGCGCACCAGCAGGTGTTCGCGATCGCCCTCTGCGTCATGCTGATGTTCGAGGGGTACCTTCGGCCGTCCGAGGCGCTGGCGCTGCGGGCAGCGCAGCTCACGGGGCCCTTCGGGGCGGGCGGCAGCGCGGGCTCGCACATGTCGGTGGTGGTGCATGCTGCAGAACTGGGCCAGCCGGGGAAGACGGGCGAGATGGGCTTCGCGGTGGTGCTCGACCTCCCTCGGCAGCAGGCCCTGGCCTGGGCCTTGGCGCGCCATCGCGCCCTGCGCCCAGGCACTTGGTACCCGCTGTGGGACTTCGACTACTGCCACCTGCTGCGGCGCTTTGGCCAGGCGCTCGAGGCTGTCGGAGCCAGCTGTTTAGCAGGCGCGCTCTACAGCTTCGGCACGGCGGCCCAATCCACGACCGCCTGACGGGCAGCCGCGCGCTGATGAAGGTGCAGCATCGAGGAAATTGACGCGTCTTCAACAGCGTGCGGCGCTACGACAAGTACGGGCGAGTGGCGATCGAGTGGGTGAAGGTTCCAGCAGCCCGGCGCCAGGCCATCCAAAGTTTAGCAGCTGGGCTCGGCGCCGCCTTCACTCAGTTCTCGAGACAGCTCTGACTAGTTGCACTGTTCGCGACTCGCGAGTGTTCATCGAACCATTCAGTGGGTCTGGCAACTTTGCGAGACACTTGCGCCAAGCTGGGCATGCTGTCATCGAGTGGGATCTGTTCCACGGGTGCGAGTTTGATTTAGGCCAGCCTGCTTCATTCGCCGTGCTCAGTGGCTGGTTTGACAATGATAAAGTCAAAGCTTTTTTCAAGGGCACGCCGTGTGAATCGTTCTCGCAAGCTCGTAGAGGCGGCCCCACCTCTTGCATGCCCCGCCGTTTGCGGGATCGCGATCACGTGTGTGGCTTGCCAAACCTGACCATTGCTGATCATGCCAAGGTTGAGCTCCGTTATCTTCTGGCCGAACGCACAGCTAAGCTCTGGACTCTTGCTAGCAAATTTGGTCTTCCTGTCCGTGAAGAGAATCCGTGTAGCAGCTGGCTGTGGCAGTTCCCGGACAGATGGCGTAGACCTTTCTCCTCCTTCTTTGCAGCCATCGTCGATCAGTGCGCTGCGGGTCGTCCCTGCCGCGCTCGCACGAGGTTTCAGTTTTTGCACTGTCGCCCCTCTCTTGCGCTCCTGTCTATGAAATGCCATGGGAGAGGTATCTGCGACTTTACAGGGCACCCTCATATGGAGTTGTCCGGCAAGGACAAAGGGGCCGTCGTTTTTCGTGCGCGTCAGAAGGCCGCCTATCCTGACGCCATGTGTCGCCACCTTGCTCAGATGTTCTCACAAACGATTCAGGCCAAAAGTGTTTCTCGTAAGTAAATGCTTTTTTTTTTTCACGGGTGACCCAGCACGCTGCTTGTTGACGGGAACTGCGTGCACTTGTAGTCGGGCGGTGTGCGCCTGCCAAAGCGCCCCTTGCCAGGCCCCGTTTCCTCAAGCAGTGCATCGGACAAAAGAGAAGCGTGTACGTTGTGTAACGAGTTTGCTTTGCGCAGCTCCGTTTCATTCCGCTCTTCAGTCTTTCTGGCTCCCAAGGCCAGCCCGCTGCCCCCATATTTCCGCAGCGCTGGGCGGTGGGCGCCTGCCAAGGCGTCCCTTGCTGGGCTCCGCTTCCTCAAGCAGTGCACTGGAAAGAAGTAGAAGCACATTCGTGCTGCTCTTTCCTCCTGTAAGTGAGTGCGTGGGGCGGAAAAGTCGCCCAGAGGGGAAGGGGTCCTGGGGTCTCTAGCGTCGGTATCGAACTTTGTGGGGCCCCCGCCCCAGGGCCGGCAACATTCGACACATTTTTCGCCCAGGGGAAGGACCCGCTTCCCTCGCGCCAGAAGAGCAGGGCAGAGGCGGGCGGCGCCAGCGAGACACGGCGCGACACGCAGGCCACCCCGCCCCCGCGGGCCCCGCAAGTCGCCACGCTGCCACCTGGCGATCCAGCGAGTTGAAAAACGGGAGGGGGGAGGAGTGCGGGAGGGGGGGGGGGTCAGGAGAGGCAGGCGGGAGGGGAGGAGGGAGGCGGGGCGACAGTCTGCATGCGCCACAGGCGCGGGACGCACAACCGCTACGAGATGCCCCCGAGCGTGAGCACTCCCACGTGTTGGCTGAAACAGCCGCCAAACTGGCCAGACGACGGTGAAAGCGAGCGGACAGCACTTGCGTATGGTTTTGCACATCAGCACAAACTGTCGGTGGCTGTGTGTACTGCGCTGCAGAAAAGGGATCAGGAGAGAACCATAACCCTCTCGTCATCGTTTCCCCCCCTCCTATCTTTCCAGCTCCAGCTCCCTTCTCCCCGAGCCCGGCTTCACTGGTTGTCTCTCCGACTCTGGCTCCCATCTCTCCGATTCCAGCTCCCATGTCTCCGACCGCAGAACAAAATCCCTAGTCTCCAACCTATCTGTCTGACTCCAGCTCGCATCACTCCAAATTCCATGTGAAGTTCGGTAATTGCAGCGGCGTGGCCCTCCCCCCGGGCCTGGCCCGCCCGCGCTGTCCTCGTAGGTCCAGTCTGTGGGACCGACGGTGCGCGCTCCGCTCCGCTTTGCTCCGCCCCCCCCCGTCCCGTGGTGGTTGTCGTCCTCGTTCTCGGCTATCGATTCGCTATTGCGGTCCTTCCTCCGAGCTTCGGCCCTGTGCGGAATGGGTTGGTTATGGGTTTTCGAAGAAGGGGAGGCAGACAGCGACAGCAGCTGCCTCCTGCAGCGCACGGGCTCGCTGTTCAGCAGGAGGGAAGGGGAAGCAGAGGAGGAAGAGGAATGGGCGCAGACTTCCCAGTTTCGTTGCCCGCTGGCAGTTCCCGGCCGTACTAAGGGAACAATTCATGCGGCTCGCGTGCTACGCGGCTCCGTCCCGCCCGCGTAATCTCCGCAGTCTGTTGTGTCGCGGCAAACCAACAGAAGTGTCATGGGAGGCGGGCCCCCGGAGGCTATCGTTGCCACGTTCGACTAATTTTTCCCCGACAAGATCGAATCCGCAAAGTGGGACTGTGCGAAAGCGCGCCGCCATAAACTGGCCACCGCGGCCCAACTGAACATGGAGCTCGTGGCCTGCGGTTCAAGCGTCGTCAGGACGAGAATCTGAATGTGAAGCGTGTGCGAAATCACGCGCCTGCTGTGCACTGGCCGCCGCAGCCGTGCAATCGAACCGAGAAGAAACATCGTCACCATCTTCTATTCCCTTCCTCCCTGGGGGACCGTGGAGTCGTTCGGTTCTTCCTGGAACAAGAAGTGGCTGAACGACTCCTGAAGCAGCGGAAATTGCAATGACATCGTTCAACACCGATGGCTTCGTCATCATCGTCAGCATCATCATCACCACCACCATCATCACCAGCCTCATCATCATCATAATCATCGCATCCATCATCACCACTGTCGTCGGCGTCGTTCGCGTGTGTGGGACGCTTGGACATCTTCATCATTTGGCCGCTGTTGGGATGCTCAGTCGGGGTAGTTTCCAACCCCCAGGAGCAGTTTCTGGGCCCCAGGACTTAACAAAACAACGAGTCAGGATGATCAGCGGGTTTTCGGGAGAGGTCGGGGGGTTCACGGGGCCGCGACTCGAGCAACGCCGTGCTGGCGGAGGTTGGCGGAGGGCGAGGATGAGGGAGGAGGACGACGCAAAGAGGGGAAGCGGATATGACCCGGATATGCGGGATGAGGAATATCCAGGTGCATGCGGCAATTGCCGCCACCGTGCCAGCCCAGCGTTCGGGGTAGCGTCGGTTCGAAGGGGCGCGGAAAGTCGTTACGTGTGACACTTCGTGTCTGCAGCCTAGACCCCTGATGGGTATGATGAGGGTTCTGGGGATGAGGGGGGTGCATGGTGATGATGTCGGGTATGTTGACGGTGCTGATGGTTATGATGATGACGCGGCTGATGTTGATAACGGCGGCGACGTTTGCGATGAAGAATATGATGACTTTGGGGATGACGATTCACATGGTGACGCTATAGTTGTTACCATTCGTATTAATATTCGTATCATAATTATTAGCATTCATGTGAGTATTATCGGTAACGGTTGTACTTTCCATTGAGATTCTTAGTGTTGTTATCATCGTTTCTCCAGATTGTTATGATGGTTATCATTACTGGCTTTAGTATCTTTCGTATTGCGAAGGCCTTACGGCCGTTGCCGCCGACCCTGAAGATGACGAAAGACAACACGAGGGGGGGGGCAGGAGGAGGAGGAGGAGGAGGAGGAGGAGGCGGAAGGGAGTAGGAGGAGGAAGGGTGAAGGGGGAGGAGGAGGAGGCCTTATGGATGTTGGTTGGGATCTCGTGGTTGACCTCTCGGGGGCGTCTGGAAGGCAACTTGAAGCCTCTTGGGGGCCGTTGTGGGGCCTCTTGGGGCCTCTTTTGGGCCTCTTGGGGCTTCCGGAGGCCGTCTTCGGCGCATCTTGGGGGCGTCTTGGCGCCGCTCGGGGGCCTCTTGGGGCCTTTTGGGGGCCTCTTGGGGCTTCCCGGGGGCCTCTTAGGGCGGAAGTCTCGAATTCTCGGTTCCTCGTCCCCCTCTTGGCCGTTTCTTGGGCCCGTCTTGGGGCCCTATTGGGCCGTCTTGGGCGCCTCTTAGGCTGTCCTGGGGCCTTCTTGGGCCGTCTTGGGGCCCTCTTGTAGGCCTCTTGGGGCGCTCTTGGGGGCCTCTTGGGGGCCTCTTGGGCCGTCTTGGAGTGTCGGAAAGCCGAAAAGGCGAGAAGGCCAAAATCATTCAAAAACCGATGTAAAATTGACGATTTTGGCGCCTGGGGCCCTCTTGGGTGTGCTCTTGGGGCTCTCTTGGAGCGTCTTGAGGGCCTCTTGGGCCGTCTTCGGGCCGTCTTGGGCGTCTTGGGGCCATCGTTCGTCGAGTCGAGGCCCTCTTGTACCCTTTTGGGGGTGTCTTCTGTCGCTCTTGGCTCGTCTTGAAGCTTTTCTGAGCTCCGGGACCCCCTGGGGAGGATGCGTATCTGGGTGGCGACCCCCCCCGGGGACCCCCCCCGGCGACCCCCCCCCCCACCCCCCCTTTGGCTCGCGCGCTCAAGGAGACGGGGAACGACGAAGACGACGAGGGACAACGGAGACGGAGACGACGAGGACACGACGGAGACGACGACGACGACGACGACGACGGTGATCCACGCAAGACGACGACACCGGGATGCGTCTTCCACACGCCGACAGGGTCGGCGGATCTGGCTTTAGTATCTTTCGTATTTTCATTATTATCGTTCTTGTGATTAATGTTGTTGTTGTTGTTGCTGCTGCTGCTGCTGCTGTTGTGTTGTTGTCGTTGTCATTGTCGTCGTCGTCGTCGTCGTCGTTGTCGACGAATTTTCTCGCTGGCGCCCCCCCCCCGCGCAACGCAACGCAACGGACCCTGCCCTCCCCCCCCCCTCTCTCGCCCCGCAGCGCGCGATAAAACGTCAGTACGAGCCCTCGCACGTGGCCCAAGGCGAGCCCTTGTTGTAATCCCAGGACGGACCCCTGGAATTTTTAGAGATCCTTTAGGGGTCCAAAACTATTACTACTACTACTACCACTACTACTACGGCTACTACTATTTATACCATTTATACTATTACTACTACTACTGCTGCTGCTACTACTACTTCTATTTCTGTTTTTATTCCCCACATCCAAAGTGGAGTTCTTGTCTTCTCTGGCCCCCCCCGCGCAGGAACCATAATTACTCACTCACACACTTTCTCACTCACTCGTTCATTCATCATCACTCATTCACTCAGTCACCACGTCGTTATCATTCACACACGCTTATCACCATCAACATCAGTAGCATCATCACCACATCATCATCAAGATCAGTAGCGTCACCACCATCACTCATTCACTCACTCACTCATTCAGTCCCACTCATTCTTTCACTCATCACCATCACAATCATCATTGTCATCGCTTACACACTCACTCACACTCACGTCCGCTGACACACACAGACCATCTTGATCACCTTGACCATCACTCGATCAAACACTCACTCACCGTCTCACTCATCATCTGCATCACCCTCATCATCATCATCATCACTCATTCATTCATTCAGTCATTCACTCACTCACCAACTCATTAGCTAGTTTGAATTTGTGGGACGTATCAGGCGGGAGGCTCGTCTGTGAGTGAACTGTGAGGAGGTCTCGCGCGGGAGCCCCCTCCCCATGGGGCCCGCACTTCCTGCTTTTTAATCCGAGCGGGCCATCCTCGATTCTTTAACTGTCGTCACTTTTGGGCTCCTGAGGCTTGAATATGGGGGAAGTATCAGGCGGAAGCCTCGTCTGAGTGAACCGGGAGGAAGTCTCAGGCGGGAGCCCTCTCCCTATGGGGCCCGCATTTCATCTTTTTTATCCGAGCGGGTCATCCTCGATCCTTGAACTGTCGTCACTTTTTGGCTCCTGAGGCCTGAATATGGGGGAAGTATCAGGCGGGAGGCTCGTCTGTGAGTGAATTGCGAGGAAGTCTCAGGCGGGAGCCCTCCCCTTATGGGGCCCGCGCTTCATGTTTTTAATCCGAGCGGGTCTTCTTCGAACCTGTAGCTGTAGTCACTTTTGGGCTCCTGAGGCTTGTATATGGAGGAAATATCAGCCGGGAGCCTCGTCTGTGAGTGAACTGTGAGGAAGGTTCAGGCGGGAGCCCCCTCCCTATGGGGTCCGCACTTCATGTTTTTAATCCGAGCGTATCCTTGAACCTGTAACTGTCGCTACTTTTGGGCTCCTGAGGCCTGCATATGGGGGAAGTCTCAGGCGGGAGCTTCGTCTGTGAATGAACAGTGAGGAGGTCTCAGGCGGGAACCCCCTCCTTATGGGGCCCGCGCTTCATGTTTTTAATCCGAGCGGGTCATCCTCAACCCTGCAACTGTCGTCACTTTGGGGCTTCCGAGGCTTGAATATGGAGGAAGTATCAGGCGGGGAACCTCGTCCGTGAGCGAACTCTGGGGAAGTCTCAGACGGGAACCCCCTCGCTATGCGCTCTTCAGAGGGCGATTCGCCCGACCCATCAGGTGAGGAGGAAGAGGAGGAACAGGAGGTAAGGACGACGACGGCGGCCTGGCGCAGTGGCAAACCCTTGGGTCTGGGCCGGGGGTGGTAATCCATCCTCGGTCGAAGCGGGGGCAGGGGAAACCCTTGTCTCAGGGTTGGCGGTGGTAACGTGGTAACCCATCGTCAGCCGAATCGTGGGCAGGGGGAAACCCTTGCGTCCGGGCTGGTGGTGTTAAGCCATCGTGAGCCGAGGGCGTGTGAGCCCTGCGCCAGGGCGAGAATGATAGTGACGCAGAGAAGACATTAAGGGCGCTTCACTAACCGCGAGGACGACAGTGAAGGTTATTTCCATATTTGCCGAAAGGGTATTCATGCGGGGCTTTTCCGTCGGAGTAACTTTCCATTGTTACCACTACTCCTATCATTCTTACCACAACCACTGCTACTACTACTACTACTACTACTACTACTACTACTACTACTACTACTACTACTACTACTACTACTATGTGTACTACTATTATTATTACGATTACTATTACTACTACTACTACTATTACTACTGCCAATACTCGTGAGTCTGTTACCACTACTGCTACTACTACTACTACTACTCTTGCTACTGCTGCTCGTACTACTACTACTGCTACTACTACTACTACTGCTACTACTACTATTACTACTACTACTACTCGTACTACTATTACTACTACTACTGCTAGAACTAGTACCAGTACTGGTACTTGCATTTAT